ATATATATATATATATATATATATATATATATATATATATATATATATATATATATATATATATATATATATATATCTATCTATCTATCTACAGTCAGTAAGACGGTTGCATACAGCATGCAAAAGACAAGATAGATTCAGACTATTTCACATGGCAATGTAATAAGTGTTGATATATATATATATATATATATATGTAATATATATATATATATATATGTAATATATATATATATATATATATATATATATATATATATATATATATATATATATATATATATATATATATATATATATATATATATATATATATATAAATATAATATATATATATATATATATATATATATATATATATATATATATATATATATATATATATATATATATATATATACAGTCAGTAAAGACTGATTTACATACAGCACACAAAAGACAAGATAGATCCAGACTATTTCACATGTAATGTAAAAGTGTGTTGATATATCTCTACAGTCAGTAAAGACTGATTTACATACAGAACACAAAAGACAAGATAGATCCAAAGTATTTCACATGTAATATATAATAGTGTGTCAATATATCTCTATAGTCAGAAAGATTGATTTACATACAGAACACAAAAGACAAGATAGATCCAGACTATTTCACATGTAATGTACATAATGCTACCGAGTTATGGAATATAATAATATATAAATAGATTAAATAGGCAAAGTAAGTATTACGCTACGAAAGGCAGATAAAGTAAATACCATTTCGAACTTGTGCAAAAATGTCAATTACCTTTTCATTATAGGCATGATAGCTGTAGATAAATAATACTTAAAACTGTCAAAGTTAGGATAAGGAACATAATAGTTTCATATTAATAATCTGACACTGCAATCGAGCAACGAAAAATTCGTTGGCTCGAGCGGGATTTGAACTCGCATCTTCGGGTATCTAGGCCGCCGCTCTACCTATTGAGCTATCGAGTCAACAGGGATTGGTAGCGAGTCTTATCCAATTTAAGTGCACGAAATATTTTCGTGACGACTTAACGCTTGTCTTAGAAGACGCGCAGTGTTTCAATTCTATTTCAGAACCATAAGTGGTCAGATTTGTTTGGAAAGATTTAATGCATGGTAAAAAGAATGTTTTGAAACCAAGTTAAAAACATCAAACATCAAGTCATTCATGTCTTGCAATGAATATCCTAATTATACTGGCGGTAAGGCACAGTGTTAAGGTTCCCTAATTTTCTGTGCGAAAATTCTTCTTTTTTTCCGTCAACGTGAAATTGACCGACGTTGATAAAGTGAACCGCTGACCTACAATGGATCGCGGGCTAAAGTCAAAATGGCCGACAAGTGAGGAGCGGACCGAACTGTGCAATAGGATTTTTTGTCTTGTTTATTTATACTATTGATACAGTGTTCTTTGAATTTTGAAACTTAGCAGACTTAAATGTTTCTGGTATATTACCTGCGTAGTAATTGAACCATATGATTGAACCCATAGCCTGTCTACGGACGTTTTAAAATCCTTAAACGTTTGTGACTTGGGGCCTTCGGTTTCTTTATTATATATTGTTTGTTTACCCATCTCTAGCCTGGCATAAATATACATGTAAGTGTTATTCAAACTGTTCTACCAACTGTTCTACCCTTACACACCAGCACGCATTATAAGGTCAGTGTGAACGCCTGAGCAGGCGTCTTGTTCAGTAAAAAACGTCCTAACTAACAAATTGAAACGTAAATATAATTCCTCTGAACCAATGGGGGTGGAATAGAAATTTTGTTCAAATGTAATGACTCCAAAAGGGGACTAGGAAGTTATTCGAGCTGAAGTATTTGATAGTGCTGTGCGCCGAGCTGAAGTATTTGATAGTGCTGGTTTTTCCGACGCCGGAGCAGAATTTTGTGTGCCGGAGCCCGGACCCGGAGTTACATTTTCCCAACTCCGGCAAAATGACAAGAAAACAATTGAAATGAGACAAATGTCAAACGATTGTTAGTTACTGCAAACTGCCAATTGCTGTTAATGAATTCATCATAGACTCAAACTGCCACAGCCCACAGGAACAGCGTCGAAAAGCTGTAATACGATCGCAACTTACAAACGTCATGCTTTCATGAAGCCATCTGACTTAGCGCTGCCGCTACATAGTCTATGTATTCATGCCTTGTAGATAACGAAAAAGTACAAAACAAATAAATATCAACGTTTTGAAAAATGACAGAGTACTTTGTGTGCGTGCGAACAATTGCGCTGTGGAGTCTGAGAGTGTTAGCGTCATGCTATATAAAAATTGCAACACTGTCAAAAAGGGGCTGAGGCTGGTTTCCATATAGATATTTTCTGCGTGGTTAAGTGTTTTCACTGTTTTGTTTCCTGAGTTATGTTATCTGATAATTAGGAAGTGCGAAAAGGGTTATTCATAATAATATTAATAAATGTTCTCTGATCGTAAAACATTTATTTAATATTTTATGATGTGGCCGGAGCCGGAGCTCAGAGTTATAATTCGGCCGGAGCCGGAGATGAAAAACCGGAGTTTGCACAGCACTAGTATTTGATCATTGCCGTTGTTGTTGCTGTTGCTATTGTTGTTGTTATTGTTGTTGCTATTGTTGTTGCTGCTGTTGTTGTTGCTATTGTTGTTGCTGCTGTTGTTGTTGCTATTGTTGTTGCTATTGCTATTGTTGTTGCTGCTGTTGTTGTTGTTGCTGCTGTTGTTGTTGTTGTTGTTGTTGTTGCTGCTGTTGTTGTTGCTATTGTTGTTGTTGTTGCTATTGTTGTTGTTGCTATTGTTGTTGTTGTTGTTGTTGTTGTTGTTGCTGTTGTTGCTGTTGTTGTTGTTGTTGCTGTTGTTGCTGTTGTTGTTGCTGCTGTTGTTGTTGCTGCTGTTGTTGCTGCTGCTGCTGTTGTTGCTGTTGCTGTTGTTGTTGTTGTTGCTGCTGTTGTTGTTGCTATTGTTGTTGTTGCTGTTGTTGTTGCATATTTTAAATCTTCCAATCTCAGCTACATGTTATGATCCAATCGCCTGAGTGGGCTTATACATGAGGGGCTTATACTGTTATACACGGGGGTTTATATTCCGGGGGGCTTATATTCGAAGGTTTACGGTGTTTTCATTAAGACCGATAATTTACACTACAAAACTTTTGCCCAAAACTATCGCATGCAGCCTGCTTATAACTTGAGTTGTACTGTGTAAATCAAGCCCCAAAATCACCTACGACAATTACGTAAGCGAGTTGTGTGCTTGATTTACACAGTACAACTCAAGTTGTAAGCAGGCTGCATGCGACAGTTTTAGGCAAAAGTTGTGTAGTGTAAATTATCGGTCTTTATGTAAATGTATAGTATAAGCAAATATAGTAGGCGATAAAAAGCAAGCCCCCCTATAAATAGTATAAGCACTGCATTTTAATTTTTAATTGTCGTTGGGTACATATAGTATAAGTATGAGTTATAGTATAAGTAAGTATAAATAACTATAAATATATTTGATTATTTAAGAGAATTCAAGCGTTCTATAATTTCTGCTTTAAAGTTATGAAGTCTATTTACTACTGTCCTAAGATTGTCATCGAATGAGTTCCAACTCTTAGCCAAAAATAATACTGAAATGGCTCTAATCCATTTTAGTCGATCAAAGCCCCGTTTACACTACGCTCAATTTTTGGTACGGCATGGAATGCCACGGATAAAATTGGTACCCGTACCACTTTTTTGGTTCTTGGACTACCCGTTTAGGTAGTCTAAGAACCAAAAAGTGGTACGGTACTAAAAAAAATTGAGCGTAGTGTAAACGGGGCTTGCTAAATAGGTAGTCCAAGAACCAAAAAAGTGGTACGGGTACCAATTTTATCCGTGCCGTACAAAAATTGAGCGTAGTGTAAACGGGGCTCAAGTTTAGTTAAAGTCGATAAAAGCTTTTAATGATCTAATTTCCAATCCCTTGCACTGTTTCTGTTAAATACCTTGTCAATCACTGTAAATGATCTTGATCTAATAAACGACCATGTCTATTAAACGCCTGATATACGTTTTAAAATTATATAATGTTGGGCCATAATAAATGTTATGGAGTGCGAGCTTGAGCTATGAAACTTAATGAGTTTGATAGAAAATCCTGTTTAATTACAAAGCGTATAGCTGTCTCGAATAGATGCGTTATCTAATAATAGCCCCTCTGCCCCCCAACTAAAGTTTAGAGTTTAATAAATGACCAGGGACAGGGGACAGGGTGTTTATTAGATCATTATGTATTCTGTAAACGTAACAATACGATTGCGTCTAATGTGAAATATCTACATTTTTGGCTTCCTTTGTACCAGCTAAGTATATGTCCGAATTAAATAAAAATTACTTTTGACTCCAAAGGCCGTGACATCTCCCTAGGACATTAGATACCAACGCTGCAGGACCGTCAGGATGCGAGACAATCGTTGGACACCATAACTGCCTTGCATTTGGCAAAGATAAACATTCAACGCCACCAGTCTCTGAGCTATGAAATATGTTGCCTCAATAAGGGGGGGATAAAATATTTTGTTAGAAAAATAAGGGGTCATGAAAAATTTTTGCTATTCATAAAAATTTCCTCCGGCCCCCTACCCGGCATTAATAATGACTTGTCCCTAAATGCATGATTGTTCCTGAATAATGCTATAAGCTCTCCTTTGCTATTCATACAACAAGGCGACAAATTTTCTCCCCTTAAGTGACATGATTTTCTGGCAGTTGAAATTCCTCAGAGGAAAAAATTTGCTTCACGAGTTCAATTTGAAGAAGCAGTGGGTGGATCGTTTCGCCTCTGGCAGACAGGTGTATTCTGGGCCAGTTTCGGATGTTAGGTAACTCACCAGAAAACGTCGCAACAAATTCTGATACAGCAAAGTTCAAAGAGAGTACAGATTTCACGTTCTCTAATCGTGCTTCTTTGTAGAACTTCGATTTAAAAGAGGAAAATGACGTGGACTTAAAATATGCGGAAAATGTTTCTCCAATGGCTGGCAGATGATTAAGCTCTTTCAAGCACAACATGCAACCAAACGCGGCTGCTTTTGTGTCCTGAAGACATTCTAAAATCTTGGACACGACGCGTATGTTTGCCGCCATGATTCTATCGGACAATTCCAAGGCTTCGTTACAAAACGCTCGAGTCGCGCCTTCGCGTGCGGCTTTGAAGCATTCTTTCGCTGAAACAAGTCGATCATTTGATGCGTTTCTAAGCTTCTGAATTGCGTTTGAGAGTGCCATGGCTTCGTTCGCTACAGAGTCGCTTTCGTTCTTTGCTGCTGTTGCCTTTGTCGCTGTTGTTGTACTTCCGACATCTTGAAGCCCGTTTGCCTCGTCCTTACTTGCTTGTTCGTCTTTTGCTTCGTTTATAGCGAGAATCAATAAATCTATACCTTCTTCCAAAAAGTGATGGCTTGCGAGTAAATCTTTACGCGCGAGTCCATCGATTTTGGTCTTGATATCATGCAGATCTTCGACAATTGCATTTCGCCAATTCTCATCGTAAACATCTCCGTTCTTGAGTTTATCAGCCGCCGCGTTTCGGACAATGCTAACCCCTTTATTCAATACTGAGCGCAAAGCAAACTTTATAATACCAACAATTATAGGTAACATACTTGAATTAGACAATCAGCTGATCAGCAAATGTATTGCTTGTTAGATGTACTGTTCGAACTCAGTTGAGACCACTGAATTATAGACTATATACAAATATGGATTACGTAATGTTATATATATATATATATATATATATATATAAAATTCGGGAATTTCCCACCCCCCACCGGCTAAAATGGTCATGCGATCGAAAGATGAGCACGATTAGCTTCGACGTTTTAAATTATTACGCAAGTTCAAGTTCAATTTAAGCAAACAATTTCTGAATGGGATTAACTGAAAGACGCACATCTTGTCTTAAAGTAAAGACTGATTTACATACATCATACAAAAGACAAGATAGATCCAGACTATTTCACATGTAATGTAAAAGTGTGTTGATATATCTCTACAGTCAGTAAAGATTGATTTACATACATCA